ATTGTATGAAATTAGTTGAATAATGAAATTTTACTTTCAAGCTGTAATGAAATTTTAAAAATGGTCAACACAAAAAAGATTTTTACAGTTAAAATTTCTAATTTTAGTAATTCTAAATAAAAAAAACTTAGAAGTAAAAACTGTATTATTTTTTTTTTTATTATTAAGATTTGAATATAACATTATATTAGGGACACTAAATACGAATAAGCTGAATAATACTAATAATTATACTTTTTTTATAATTTAGAGCTGAAAATTGTTGACGCGCTGTCATATTTTACATACCTACCAATATAGCTATATAATCTATAATTGTATTTTTGGGGAACAAAAAATCAAAAAATACGTTATTACAAGCCCCAAACATTGATTACACCTTTCGTCGTCTATAATGTTAGGTATATCGCGTAATGTTTAATACTCATATTATATATATATATAGAACGATTAATAAAACATAGTACAAACGAATTATAAGTAGACACCTAGCTATATATATGTATATTTTATATATATTACATACGTTTATAATATATCTACATATTATGTCATTCAAAAAATGTACTGTTTGTTTGAATATTTTCTTGTTGTTCCGCTAAGTAAATATATATTTTATGTAAATATAATAAAGTATAAACATACAATGCATATACCTTTATACCATATTATAATAATAAGAGTATAGGATAGAAAAACAAAAATACAAATCAGTATGAATACGATTTATGAAATTTCAAATCAAACACACGCACACGCATATTTTATACATATATATACCTAGCAACCCACTGCAGCATAACGGTTATAGATTATAGATGTAATATATTACAATACATCATCATCATAATGATGTATCTACTCCATACACGTACACCGAGATGTGCATCGGCGTAAACCCTTACGAGACCGATTCATCAAAATCATTTCATAAGCCTTTTGTTTTCGACAATCAATTATATTATATTTCTCTTAACGTTAGACCGCTGCAGGTCTAACATGTACGAACGTACTTATAATAATTCTGCAATAACTAAACAGTTGCAACTTTCAGCACCAATATTATAATATAATTTATATTAAAATGCATTAATGATAAATAAAATATGATAAATCAAATACTAAAATTACAGAACTGCAAAATTAATTTTTTTTTTTTTTTAGAAACAATAGTTTACGCTTATACTAATTTTTTATTATTTATGTAAAAAAAACATCGTTTGTGACTTGTGATCAAAATTCATTAAACTTATCAATCTTTTACATTGACAATGGCATTAAACAAATTGAAAATAAAGCTACACTTATTTTTACAAATGATTTTTCTCAAAACTAGATGACCAACACAATCCATTAATAAATAACCTACATTCCCTGAAAATATTCGTTGTAGACTCAAAAAAAAAATAGTTATGTGATTTTCTGACTTCATTTTCTTATTTTACCTTTTAATAATTTCAATCTACGTGTCAATAATAAATTAGTTATGATTGACTTTTTATTCGCGTTACATCTCTTTAAAATTTTTCTTTCTTACTTATCACATGAACTTATTATGCATTAATCGATATAGATTATTGCCTATAAGTATATTTACTATTATGAAAGAAAAATAAAAGAAAATTTAATTAAACCTGTAAGTTGAAGCGCTATCTATCAATAAATGCAAGCAGCAATCGCTTATGTAAAATGTGTATAATATTATAATTCAGTAATGAATATCAATTATTATTGACATATTGAATTATTAATGCATTAAAATTATATATTATATTATTACATATTCAAGTGTTAAGTAAAAATATTTTAAACTAGTGTCAAAAAAAAATATAAATGTTTAAGATGTTAAGATAGTTTTGGCGAATAAACTACTTTGACATATTTATTTTTTTTTATTAGGTAAAAGAAATATACAACTATACAAAATTGTACACAAGTATTAATGATGTAAGTGATTTACATATCATGAAAAAGGCGCGATGTAAGAGGGCTCCCAATGGAGCTACCTACTTAAGGGATTTTTTTTTTTTAAGAAAAATAGTTTTTTTTAATAGAAAAGGTCTCTGATCCATTTTCTTTTGAGTCTTCGCGGAGGATTGTCGAGGATGTGAAGTGAAACAAGGTGTCTTATGTTGGAATTAGTATGTGTGTTCAATTTTTTATGTAATTTGAGGTAGGCAGTTGTTGTAATTTGGTTTACATATTTAATTTTCAGGTCAGAGTGTAAGGATTTATTACTAAAAAACCAGGGAGAATTTGTTAAAGTGCGTAAGCATATTGATTGGAATGATTGAATTTTTTGTATGTTACTTGGAACAGCATTGCCCCAAATTTGTATATCGTAATACCATAAAGGAAAAATCAGCGCCTTATAGATGAGAATTTTGTGTTTCAGGTTTAGTTTTGATCATAGGAGAGGACGTAGTAGATGTAATTTAGAGTTTAGTTTCTTTCTTTTATCGAGTATGTGGTCTTTCCAGGTTAGACACTTTCAGTGTTTGATTTAGAAAAAAAATAGAAGGGGGACTCATCGGATGTTTGATAAACGAGCGTTCCACACAAAATTAACCGTCATATTACTGTGGGGGCAAATAGAAGGGGTACGCTAAAAAAAAATTAAAAAAGAAGGGGGACTCCGTCCCTCCACGTCCCCCCCCCAAATCAAGCACTGGACACTTTGACATCTTTCTTTAAATTATTGATACTCATGTTTACTATATAGGTAATATCTTATTCTATGATAAATCTTAAATGATAATATTATATAATTATAATTTATATTATATTTCATTAGTTAATTGTCAAATTATTATTATTATTTTTAATGGCAAAAAATCATAAAATTGTATAGGTAGTATGTACATTGTACATACCTAATTAAAAACATATCATCCATATTTTTAAAACAATTTTGAAACGAGAAAGGTTTTAGAGTTTAAAATGAGCCACCACTAATCGTTTAATGTTCTGGGATCCGAGTATCCAATCAATCTTTTATCCGGGCTTGTTTAAAACTCCTCAATTTCCTTCCTATTGTAATCCAGCCCCATACCATAAATACCTATGCACGTTTATACAAGATGCATAATTTTATCTATATTTGGATGCAAATAATACAATATTATATCATCTAAAATATATAAAACATTAGTAAGTTAAAAAGTATTAAGTAATATATTTTCTATTAATTTTCAATTTTCAATCTTAAATAAAAATTGTTAAATTATTACAATAATATTATATTTTTAATTCACCTAAAAGATTTAAGACGAAATTAAGAATAAATTCGTAGGCATAACTCGATAATTGACCTAACTAAAAAATGCATAACCAGGGGCGCAATTTGCGAGATGCAAAATTATACATTTACATCCCAAGGGCCATAAAAAATAGTTACTCTTTAAATTGTACATGTTAAATTTAATTACTCTTTTGTAACATAAATAACAACATATTTATGGTTTTAAACAGTTTCGATAAAAAAAAAGATCATTTTTTTGAATTGTCATTTTTTTTTTTTTACTTAGATGTTATATTTATAAATCATTTTAAGTAGAAATCTATTAATATCAATAATATTTTAATTATCATCTTTCTAATTTTGCTTCATAATTTTTAATTGAAAAAAATTTATCCTAATCTTGCATTATATATGTGGCTATGTACATGTACATTGTATTACTTCCTTAGAGTTTTCATTTATATTAAAGAAAATAAGTTGAATTATTAAAATTTCACAACTGTAATGATAGGCTCACACATAATTGTATATTATATAACTATAAAAGTCAAGTTGTCGCACGCAGATTAAAACCCCATAAACATCCTTTCGCCACTGATGAAAGAAACGACTTATACTATATGGTTACGAAGGGATTGACACATGATTTGTGGCAATGTGCCGCAAAGCGTGTGACCCAATTTCGTGTGCCACCAGAGACAAGGGATGGTCCAATGAGGGTCTCTGTCGACTGTCGCCTAGGAGAAAACCTATTTCTTTAGAAAACGCGGAGACCTTTGATGGTGCCGCCTGCGACTCTGGCTGGCTTGACCAAGTCGTCTTCTCTTATCAGTGCATGAGCACCAGCCAAGCTATCGAATGCATGAACACTGAGCCACCGATCAAGCTATCAAGTGCAGACGCACCATACAAGCGAGCGAAAGCTCTTCCCAAGACTATCACACACACAAGATTCTGCAAGTGACAGCTGAACTTCTTCTTTTTTTATAAGTCAAATCAGTATTGTGTTTTTCTTATTTAAATTTAAGTTTTCCTTAAGTCGTTTCGTAATTTGTGTCACCATATATCTCTCTCCGAGGAACTTACAATAGACATTCACCGCGGCGAATCAGGTTAGGTGCATGGTAAAATACCTATTGTTAATATAGGTTCTTTTACTATCTAATTAACGTAACGATCTGCTTGATTATATTCTCGAATACAAGTCCTCAAAAACCCTCCGAAGAACAGGAAGAAGGTAATAACGTGAGAACAAGTGTATTCAAATATTATTAACACCAGACTTATATCTAAGGCTTGTGCCCCTTATGTTTATCCGGCTACATTATAATCCTTATTTTTAATTTTTTTATATTTAATTTATTTTTGTCATATTTTCACGTTATTACACAACATTATATTATTTTTTAATTTAAATTTGAGACTGCATTTTTTGTGAGCAGCTATAATTACGGTTGACTATTTGTAATGTTTTTTGCATTCCACACAAAGTTCTGAAATTACGGGCCTGGCCGTAACTCAGCACGAATTAACAACAAGATGCCAAGGTATATTACCTTAATTCACGACAATTAGTTTTAATTAGAGCGACACAGCCCCCAATTGATCCACCAAGTCGGTAAATCTACGATTCGTGTGAATGCGAAGTGTAAAAAATATAATATGATTACGGGCGCGGTTATCCTTATCACTTATCACTAGTGCATAACAGCTGTTTGGCAGCGCACCGTAGACCCTTATCACTTGCTCAACACTCGACAATCGACCGCAATCCATATTCCATAACGAGTATCGACCGAGACTAATAAATCATCAGATTTTCCGCTTACAAAGAATCACGACATCGTCGTTAATTGTTTTCCGTTCGATCCATGACAACATAATTAGTAATTACGTTCATAGTTTTGTTGACGTCGCGATTCTTCGCCAATAAACGACGACCCCCGACAAGGGTGGTTTAAACCGACGTCGGTAATCTTCTGTGTTACCGGATCTCGGTGACCGACCTCGATCGATATTATCGTAATGGACTGCACGCGTCGCCAACAAACGTCCACGGACAACAGTGGAAGCTGATCGGCATCAGCAGGAGGAGCCATCACTCTAAGACTGGCGCACAGAAGACCGCACCACATCAACAATGGCAGAAGGTGACAAACTGGAGCACCAGTGTTTGGTAAGTGTTTACCCACCAGTCACCACTTAATTAGACGTAACGATATTAATTTTAAAGAAACACTTATTATACTTTACAGAAAATTTTTTGTTGTAATGTCCTTTTCTTTGTTCTAGCAAAAAGAATTCGAATGGGTGCTAAATGAAGAGGTACACTCGATATTGCACCAGTTAAATATTATACTAAACGTAAGTAATGGGTTAATCACCACATTCGTCATGTAATTATTACTGTAAAACACATTTTATTGTAGGAATGCGTCCGACGTTTTCCTTCGTGGGACAGTGATGTTCAGGTCAAACAGGAAAAATTTGTCTTGTCTACATCACCAGACCAGTTAAAAAGCATTGTATCCATATCTGGTGACACCATACTGCAGGCGGTAAATGTTCTACCAGTCTTAACTACTTTTTTATATATGATTGTCCATTATTCTTACCTACTGTTTCTTAACTGCAGCTGTCAAATGCTGCTCATAAGTTTCATTTCATAATTTTTGCTGATAATATTACTTGTCAAGGTCATTTTACTTGACAAAAAATACAGCAATATTGTGTATTACTGCAATAATAATTAAATAATACATTTAATTTGTTTAACATTTTTAAAATTTAATTCTATAATATACCTCATTATTAAAATTACATTAGCACTCTTTAATACTTTTATATTATCATATTATAACCTTTTTATAATAATTGAATTATTCATAAATTAAAAGTCAAGCATCATAATATATCAAAAAGACCTTGTATTTACATGTGTTTTCTCTGTCTCACTAATGTAAAAAAGCAAATTTTTGTTCAGCAGAATCCATTTCATGCTGCTAGCTTTAATATTAAAGTCAATTTATCTATTATCAAACTTAAAGATAAGAATATTATCTAAGAAATTGCATAGGTTTATTTTGGTATTTTTATTTTAAAGTGAATTATTAATATTTTACATAGCTATAATTTACTTTAAAAATAAAGTATCAGTAAAGACCTATGCGTTACCCTAAATAATATTCTTACCTTTAGGTTTATTAGTAGGTAAACTTATTCTATATATATTAAAGCTATCAGCATAAAATTAATTTCGCTATAATTTACTATGATTTACTTTAGTAAGATGAAGACAACACATTCCGATACAACATTCTCTTAATGTTTTTATGTACATTTTTTTTCTAAATTTCAAATTATAATAAATAAGCTTTTAATTGTATAAGTGTATGTAACCTTAAAAATCTTATTACAGGATATACAATTTAAAGTACAGAGACATCAGCAACAAATAATGTACAGAACAAACATACGCCACGATTGTCCATGGAAATTGCATCAAGTTCAAGACGCAGGCAATCATCTAAGACAAGCTATTTTACAAATTGAAAAAATTGATAAGGAAACTATTTTCAAGTATTGAAATTTGATCTTTTATTAATAATAATTGAATTACATATTTATACTAATTTTATTGATACATATAGTTCCTCAGAAGAAGTATTGCACATTCTGCGAAATTTGTTGGGATGTTTACAAAGAGGTCGTACAAGTCTAATAGTTCCACGTAAACGGACAATTGATGATTTGATTAAAAGTAGAAACATGGTAAGTAGCCCCTACTGAAATTAAACATCTACTGTTCATTAAAATTGCTAAGTCAATGGTTACGTTTGTTTCAGAAGTGTTTGACACCCAACTTACCAGAAGATTTGGCAATTAGTTTTTACATACAGAGTCATAAGCTAATATTTGCTGTTTACCAACTGTCCAATTCTCACGGTTCAATGAAGTACGACACATATCAAGCTGAATGTACTATACCGTGGTTGAACGAAGTCCTCGTCCTTTTCACGGTTGCCTTACAGTTAGCCCAACAACTCAAAGACAAGGTTATTATTTATAAACTTTCATCAATTTTCAATTTTTTGAAATTATTAATATTTAAATTTTATGTTAGATCTGCGTGTTTACACAGTACAGAGATATTACTCAATTGTCACGACCAGTTTCTAGCATTGCGATACAGTCATAATAAGTATTTGCTGGATTTTTTTCTTTGTATTGGGTTCTATTATTTAACACAATCAGGTGATCAAATATGAAGAATGCATATAAAATACAATTGTATATTTTAGTTTGTTACCGATTTTCTTCAACAATCTATTTCCAGCAATAATTTATAGCTTTAAGTTTTTCAAAATATGTTTGTTTAACATTATATTATATTTACATGTAATTAACGCGGAACATTAATGAGAAATTTCATTCTGAATGTAATTTCTTGAGCCCATTATACGACAACAGTATTGTTTTTATTATTAAAAATTATAATAGTTATAGTTTTCAATACCATTTATAACAGATATCAGTTTTTTTGTTTTATTTAATTTATTTATTTAAATTATTATTTTTTAACACTCATACCTTTTGTGCAGTGACGGTGATATGAAAACTATACAAGTATTCTTTTTATTTGTAAGTTATTTTGTGTATGGTATAATAATAATATAATATATACTTTGTGCCCTAAATTACATTTAAACATTTTAGGACAATAATTTGATCTGATTACTATAATAATTTAGTTTAATAGAATATGCTCATGTTCTAGTTTTATATATTATATTCACACAATATATGTGTTTAGAACATATGTTCATTTATTTTTCTTTGGTATTTTATATTATATTTAATTCAATACCAGTTGATAGGTTAATTATTATCAATTGATAGTTGTTTTAAATCACGTACACTAGCTGTACATTATTTATGTAATCGTGAAACTAGTAATTATTTGTTTTAAGTTGTTGATCACTTTTTGAAAAATTGTACTATTTGTGTTATACTAATTACTAATAAATGCAAAAAAATAAATATTTGACAATTTATAAATTATTTCAAATTTACTTTTAGTAAATTAAATAATATTGTACTCATACAGGTTAAGTTGAGTTGGTAGCTTGTTGCCTATTTTCATATATTATATAATGGGCTAAATCATAAAAAGTAATTTTTTTTTATATTATAAATATAATTTATTACCCATATGTTTTTTAATTATTATTTACTGACTACTACGATCAGTTGTTCATAATACGAGTACATAAAAAAAAATTATCATTTTAAGCTTAAACAACAATTTAATCAATGTTAATTTTATAGTAACCAATCAGTAAATAACTCATAATCTTAATCATTTTCCAGCAAATATTTCACTATCATTGAAATTATCAGTAATTTTGCTACGATTATATAATTTGATTGTCAATTGTCATTACACAGCTGTTCACAAAACCAATATTTAAAACAAAACAATTTTTGTTTCATAAAATGTATCAAAATAATGTATTTACCATTTTATATTACCCCTCTGAGATTACCTACATGATCATAACGTATGAAGGTGAAGGTATATTTTGAAAATTTTAAATTAAAGGATTCCAGGTATTTATGCACCGGCACGTACAATGTTCATTATTCATATTTAGTGAATAAGAAATTATGAGACAATCACAATATAAAGTTAAGTTTATACAAGGTTAATGTTCTTAACATCCATAAGAAAACATTTATTCATTTTATGTACAAACTTTAAACTCAACACTTAAAAAACTTGTAATAATAAAATAGTATACAATTATTTATTGTAATTAATGTATATTACAGCACTCGTCATCTTTTAATGGACACTTATCTGGATAATTATGAAAAAACCAACATTTATGTTTCTTCCAAACTTTTCCACAATCTTTTGCTGGTTTTCTGAACCCAACAGTTCCTTTCTCAACCACAAAAATATACCTGTGATTCCTTAACAATGTTTGTAAACCACCACATTCTTTTTTCAATTTTTTCAGTCTCTCTTCGCCGATATTTTTTGCTAATTCACCTAAAGTAACGCGACACTTCCATCCATCTGAACTCTTCATCAATACATCAGCTACACTATCAACCACACTACGCACCAAGTCTTTATCTAATTTAGTGCAATTCCTAACCCTCTCTTCAGGCGGTCTGGGCACAAATAGAACGTTTTCATTAAATTTAGAGCTTACAAATTTTTCAATATCTTGCACAACTTGATCCGCTTCTTGTGGTAAGTAATTTTTTGACCAACCAATGATGCACGTCCTTTTAGTTGAAGGTATTCGAAGACGGTCTATCTTAACATTAAATTTAAACACATTCATACTTGTCTTTTCCAAGTATTTTAAATAATCATGGTATTGGCTAAAAGATGAATCTATGCGCTGGTAACGGGAACCATTGAATTCAAAAGGGCAGCATGGAAGGAGAAAAAATTTGCAATTATAATTGCTACGCGAGGCAATTACTGGTACCCAGGGCGATAGCTCGTCTGAATGATTGCCTATGATCCAATCGGCTTGTGGAAATTTACAATCAGATGATGAAGGATCAACACTTGTCACCTGCAAATGACAAAAAAATAAATAATAATTCAGTAAATTCAAACTTTGTTTGTTATTTGTATAATAGGAACTATACAACAAACAATACCTTCAAAACTGTAGATTGTGGATATTGAGCCCACATTTTGCGAGATCTGACGTCCATTCCAACTCCACTATATCCTTCACTGTTCAAAATATGTACAAGTAAACCATTACCACACCCCATATCGATAAAACTTGGTTTGATATTGCCCCACAAAAGCATCAGATAAGTAGCAGTTGCAATATCTTTATGTATATACTTCTTAGGATCAGTTACTTCTGTCCAAAGCTAAACATACAAAAATTAAACTAAGTTAACAATATTTTTAAATGAAAAGTAAACAAAAATTATTGAACCTACCTCCATTAGTGATTTGGCATATTTTTCTTTCAACCTACTATATAAATTACAATACATTTGAACACAAACATGTGATAAAGATGAAATTCCTGGTTTAGACCCTTTGTCATTAATCGTCCAGTTGAAAAATTTAGGGAAAAATACGTCAGTCATCCAGTGTAACGTCTTCTTGTCGTTCAGAGAATGATTTGACAGTGTGGCAAGACGCAATTCCAAACAGTTGTCCACAAAATAAATACCATAGGCATATTTGACAACATCATCGTCGTTCCTCTTTGGTGTACAATCATAGAACACGACGATACTATTTTGCCTATCTATAAAAAAAACCATGATACATAATATTCTAACAACCTTATGTTTCAAATATTGATGAACTCTTACCAAAGATACTGAGTCGCAAGTAATCATTCCAATCAGCGGGCTTCTTGGTGAATAGTTTCCAGACTTCCACTTGGATGTCCTCGCCACCACTTAGGCCCAAACGCCGAAAAATATTAGTGGAATCTCCTGTCCAGGTTGAAAATGGTAGATCTGTAGTTAACACTGAAGTCAACACATCACCATATTCACCAGCCAACGATTCAGACACAAGCCGTTCAGCACCCATCAAGTGCTTGATCAACAGGTGTGGTTTAGCGTTCCATACGCTCGCAGCGCTCCAAAATTTCTCAACTGTCAAGTCAGAGGACTGTACCCGTTTTAGAGTAATCCATGACCATGTCACGGTCGTCATGATTAAGGCAGAATACGTTCAAACTCCAAATATTGCTGTTCAACCAGTGAGCGCTTTCTTCTGGCATCAATTCAATAGAAAAGTGCAATCCTATCACATTTATCCGAACGGTATAATTGTAAAAACCGTTAGGATTTACCGTCTTTGATTTGAAATAAAAAAACTTCCCTTGTTACTTGTTAGCATTTAAAGAAACAAATTTTCAAATTCGAAATTCAAATGCGGCCACGTTTTGATAACAACGATATGATAATTCTGTGGCGGTAGTCATAATGTTTTGTTATTGTGATAACGTTTATCATCGGAAAAGTGCGAACTGCGAAAGCGAATATTTTAGTTTAAAATGAAAACCAGTCTCGTTCTATTTCTAAACGGTTTTCCACTTCCCAGGCCCTATTTTTATGTACACTACGACACACAATGTGCACTACGAATGTACAAGACACAAGTGTGCACTACGATTTGAACGTGTGTGCACTACGGTCTATAAAACAAAAATTTTATAATGTGCCAGCTAATTTAAATCATACTGAATTATAATTTCTTCCTATTAATTTTCAAATATTGTTATCAGTCAAAAGTATTTTGTTGTTAGTGAGAATTAAATTTTTGTTTAAAGCAGTATAATTAAGTATGCAGTCCGAAATTTTACAAATAATAGGGCCTGCCACTTCCCGAAGTAATAATTATACGAGGTTATGTAGCGCTAACTAGTATTATAATATTTTGTTCTCGTTTATCAACAGTAAAATTGACTGAAACCAGAGAACTTGCTTTGATGTATTGTAAGTTACGAATGTTATGAATATTGTATTAAACTTAAATTCAATTAAAATTAACTTTTATAAATCATTGTTAACCAAAAACGAGTCTGAATGCAAACAGTACCTATGTAAAACTATTTCTAAAAATATTTTTTGATTTATTTAAATTCTTATTATAAATAGTATACCTAGTACCAAACAGTACGGTGATAATAAAATTTAACTTTTCCAAAAACTAGATATTTTTGAGTATTGAGTATTGTAATAAAATGTTTGTACGAACTGCAGAAAGTACCACAAAAACGTTCAAATCTTTCTGCAATACTGCAGCTGGTATCCGACTATACTTATAAGTTTAAAAATTAATATATTCATTTTTTCTACACATCATTTTGTACCTATACTTTCGTATTACCTAATTACCTCAAGGTTCTATTTCTGATACACCTAAGTATCTAGATTGATCTAAAAGTAACTGATGATATTTGAATTTTTCACTAAAAAAACTACCTATATTATGTTATATGAAAAAATTATATTACGCCAATTGCTAAAGATAAATATTATAAATCAATGATTTCAGGCACTACCTTATTTTACACATTTACACATGAGTTTAATAAAATTGTAAGGAGAAAAACCTGAAATTTTTTCAAGTAAGTACATTATATATGTGTTAATTTAAGAGATAATTTAACACTTAATTTGTTGTTCTAATAGTAATCTAACAGTATAAAAAAAATCCCATATATTAAATCCTATATTTTGTTTTAATGATTCAACAAACTTGGTTTACATTAATCCAGTTTTAACAAATAATTTTCATAAAATTTGGCGTGAATAGATTACAATGATTGTAATGTTTTGTATACATATTATACTTCACGTCAGTGTATCTCGAAAGTTTCATAAATTGTAAGCTAGATATCTGATATAGCTAAGTAATGTGATTTGTACATACGATGATTCCTTGAACATGTACTTAAATTGTTTAATATGTATAAACGTATACAAGTATATTATAATATACATTTTTAATATTGTCCACAAGAAATTCTTAATAAATACTTGAAATCATTACAAACACACAAGAGTGAGAAAAGAAACAACCAAATTCTCATACTAATAGTTTATTTATTTACAAAGATTTCTATTTACGACACACTTATATATAAACATAAAAAAAAACAATAATAATAAGACTGTCATGGTATAAATAGTATTCGTACTTATTATAAGTCTATATTTTATGTAAATTAATTTTGTACACAAAAAGTTGGTACACACATTGTCTGCACAGGCAGAGTCTGTTTGAGCAAAAATATAATTACCTTTACATGACCTAAATAGGTATGAAGTATTCAGACTTACGCTAATAATATTTAATTACACTGTATAGGTCCGTTACAATGGAATGCATAACTTTTATAAAAATATAGTCATAAGTATTTAATATTATAATATTTAACACATTAATACATTATTATTATCACAAAGCCAGCTTGGTGGCAAAATTCGGAATGTAATTTTTACAAGAAAATGTATTTCAGAGTGCTTTCTTGCATTCACGTTACTTAGTAAAAAAATATAATATATACCCGTCATTTATCTACACGAGTCAAAAAAATAATAATAATAGAAAAAATTATCCCTAATTCTAAGTGATGTGTAATAATAATAATTGGAGTTGGACGTTTCAGAATACCGTATCACGACCATTCGGTAACCGCAACATAAAGTCGTTGGAATTACACCGAACAAAATAATAATCATAAACATAATAAAAATAAATTAGGCGATTTGATTGTAAAATAAATATGAGAACGATTAACGATCAACAACTCGACCAAAATCTTCCGAGTTAGAGTGACATCAAAAATATTTATATACATAATGTATACAATAAAAGTGAGATTGGTACAAAAATGATAATAACTTATTCATAGTGAGAGAGGAGAGAGCAAGAGAGATTTCGATTTTCATCGGTTGTACGCAATGACAGTCATTCGTAATTTTTATTTTTGTTCATCTCTTCTTCGGCCTTAATCACGATCTCGAGCACGCGGCGCTTGATTTCCGCCTGGTACGCCTGAGGCAAACCCTTAGTCGTCTCGGCCATACTGTAGAAGAACAGGTCGACGGGGTGTACTTTGGCATGGCTGTGCTGTTGCTGCTGTATGTGGTAATAGTGGTTCATGTGGTGTTGGTTGAGCTTGAGCTGGGCAGACGAGTCGGCTTCCTTGGCGGCAGCCGCTGCCGCGGCTTCAGCTGACCGCTTCACGCGTTTTGCAACGCGGTGCAGGGGCTCGTGCTTGCCGTTGCTCAGGATCTCCACATCCGGGTACAGAAGCTCGTCGTCCACGCCCCCCTCGTCGTTTGAGTAGTTGCCCGCCATCTCTTTCACCTCCACCCGGGGTTCGGGCATCTCGTCGTACTCATATGACATGTTGTTGTACGGGCTAGACGACCCTTCTGTCTTGCAGTCATCATACACGCTCGAGTAGTCTTGATTAGGAGAGTGTTCCAAATTCAACATTTTCTTCAGGGAATACCTGCGCAAACAAAACAAGAGAAAAAATATTAAATCGGAAACTGACAGCAAAGACAACGACAAAATAATACTCATGTAAATTATTTAAATTTAAAGAAAAACAAAACTCAAAAGTTACGTTCTGCGGGTATACGAGTTTATTACTTAAAATTTAAAAAAATTAGTATTTATATTACAGCAACGTACGTCGTACATAAATATGGTTAACTGTGTCAACATTTTTTAGAACTTACTATAAACAACACTTTACCGTCTATAAAGCTAAACGTCCCTACAGGCTACAAGTATTCATAGATTTATTTGTGCGGCAGCTAGGGAGGGAGGTTTTTTTCCCAGGTGATACTTTCGAAAGATAAAAGTCTAAACACCATTGTCATACTAAAAGTATTGAACCATACCTCGCCAGAGAATTAAAATATGATGAAATTATAAATTAATTTATGAAATTATTGGTAGTTCGTAAACAAATAATTATAATTTACATAATATGTTTAATATTTTTGCAGAAATAATTTTTCCAATTGTATAGGTATTTAATAATAACATAGCCATTATAAATTAATTTTAATATTTTTTTAAAAAATGTATATGGATAGGCAGCATTGTAGCAATAAATGAACACCTGATCTCGAAATTCGACTTCTTTGAACCTAATGATAAAATTTAGTATACAACAGTAATGCGATAAACATTTATTTCTTATAAATGTCTCGAGACAACAATAACGACGAACACTGATCTACATTTTTTCGTCGAGAAACAGCTTTATAGTGATATTAAAACGTTTTTTGAACCGGTTTTACATTAGTTAATATGCAGTTGATCACGAATCGTATTAGAACTGTGCGTAATAATATTATCCTTCAAAGAGCGGATTTGCTGCTTTGCGTGAGTAATGTTCGAAGTCTAACTTCGCTACACCACGTGTGCACGAAACACTGAAGCAGATCTTCGGTCGAGCGCAGCAACAGGTATATGTGGCAATCGTAGAGAATTTCTCAGACAACCAAACAAAACAAAAACTCCGACTAAGCTGTCCCGAACGTTCGAGTAATCCGTACACAAATTTTATGTAAATGTCATATTATCATTATAATTGTACTTGAATATAACATAAACTTAATAATAAACGATTATACGGTTATCGAATAATTTTAATTGATTAACGAATCGATATAAATAGTCCACCGCAATCCAAACATTCGCGTGCCAAACGCAAACATGAATAATTACGAGTTAATACCTAACCGACGAAGATAAAAAAACTCGCACGTAAAACAAACATAATGTATACATAACAGTTACTGGCTTTAGTAATATCAACAACATCGAACACATATTTTGTTATTGATAGATTGTAATTTTTAGATATTTTGATTTTTGACCATAAATACCTCGCGCTACAATTTATACATCCCGTAAACGCATGTATACGTGCAATTGTGCAACTGCTAGACTATGCATGTATATGTATACTACATTATATATATATATATGATGGTAACACAAGTTTCTTATTACGTCGTACGCTTATTTAAACGGGGGTGGGGGAACAGGACGCGACCCAGAGCCATGGACCGAGACATTTTATTGTTCGTAAGATTATTAGTCGGCGCCCGCTATTTTGTTTTCTCACGTACCTATATAGTATATACATATACGTAATATTATAATGGCCTACTAATAACAAACGTCTATGTAGTTTCGACAGTTATCGCCCAGTCACAAGTCCTTAAAGACGAATTTACTGCAGTCTGGCATCGAACCGTCAAAGTCGTTGTCCATAGCAGTACCTACGCGTTTAGTTTATAAGTATAAAAAGTAATAACTCACCCTCCGATTTGCATAAATGGTAAAAGAAATTCCATCTCTCTCTGATATTTCCACGGCTTGCCCTCGACGAACGGTAGGCCGGGTTTGAGATTCAATCCTTTGGTGCGTTTAATGGATACTCGGAAATTGTCGCGTAAACGTTTCCAGCGCAATTTGACATCATTAACTGCAGAAAATATACAGAAATTTATTAATATTTAACATCAATATTGTTTATAAGCACATATTGCCACATTGGTATATAATATATTAATATATATGAGATATTAGTATATTACAGTTAATAAAATAGTTAAAACCGATGCGGCAATCATGCCGGGTAAAATTATAATAGTTTGTCTAAATTAAACAAACATTAACAAATTTATAGATTTACGATTAACTATTATATTGTACGGTCAAGAAATGAAAACCTGGAAATGCGTGACTCACGATGACGGATACGCTCCACCACGGTGCGCGTTTTCTCGTATATTTCGTTTTAATATTATAGGTGCATCCGAGTGGTATAAATAAGCCGATCACGAATTTCTCATTTGACAGTATTTTACACAACAAATAATACTTTATGCACTTCCTTACCTAGGGCATGATTTTATTTTTATTTTAACTGTAATTTACAATTAGTTTTAACAATCAAACGATTATGGATTTAATGCACTCAAAAATTCAAAAGTATGTGAAGTAGACATAATACAATAAATGCTTAATAGTATATGTAGGTACTAGGTGATCTATTTAACGTACTTAAAACTCTATTTATCATTTCAAAAACAATTAATTTTTTTTACACAATTTTAAGTCGTTAATAACAATATTTTTCTAAAAGATTTTAATTTTATTATGTTTAATCGCTATCAATGTTTATTCTTTTACTTTCTTGATGACAAACTACATTTTTAAATTATTATTCCATTATTTGACATAAAAATATTAACTGTCACTAAAATTAAGGGAACATAATATGCTTATAGATTTAGTACAAATAATATTATAATTTATAATTTAAGTATTTGTTATATTATTTATTTTTTTTTTTTTATTTCAGTAGAATTGGTAAAGCTATTAGTGTCAAGTCTCAACAATTAGACGCATAATTAATTAAGTTATAACTTAAAACATAATATTATTATTGTATAATCTCAAATTAGCTAAAATAATAATTATTGACTTAAATAATGTCGTCTAAATTATACTATATATTTCTATAAAAATACGATTTTTCGAATATACTTATCTAATTAATTATTTTTCGACTTACATACGTATCGCACCCAGGGAAAAATGTGTTCCTCCAAAATTAATTTGGTGATAGACATATATTATATATATATATATTTTATGTATATTTGTGTGTTCTATGTATAGACGGATCCTAGTAGTTGGTAGAAGTAATAAACTAATAAACTGTGAATTTAATATATCCCTCAGAAATATTTAAAACATATATTCTTACTAGAAAACATATTTTGATAAATATTATAAGTATTTAAACACACACACACACACGTATATATAATATACCTATATATAAATTTAAGGTTTAAAAATAAAAAAATGAAATTTGATACAATTGTTGTTTTTTGGTAGGGAGGTGCGATTACAATTATTTTCCAGATACGTTATCATTTATACAAATATTGCTTTGATTACATGCTTTAGGTTTCTATAAAAAAGATTTATGGTTTAATTTAATATTTGATATTATTAATATAAAGATTGATGACTAAAATGGAGAAAAAGAGGGTATACTAGCTATATCTATTTAAATATAAAATTATAACACCCCTTTAAAAATTCCTTGTTTTGTGCCTGCGACGATGGCAAACAAATCTTTTTACGTGTATTATTTCTCTATAAGCAATATTCACACATTTTCTGTATACTGTTCGACTAGGTTTTGATAAGTTATGTCGTAAGACTATATTAAATATAGGTAATATACAAATAAAAAAGTAAGATACAAAATATCATAAACAGTACTACTGTATAGTTTACACATACACAAATGATAACGCATAATAATTAAAATTCTCCGTGCTCCATCTACAGTAGGTATCAATAGATAAAAAATGTTATGTCATAACAAACTACATAATAATTCATAAATAGGAAAATAACTTATAGACTGCGTATGAAACAGCAAGGTCGTCAAAATTTTACAGTATAAAACATACGGAGATTGCATCAAGTTTTCGCCGAAACTTCACCAAACCTATAACGCGAAATATGTACTTATGGATGTTATAGATCCACTGTATACATATCATATACTATATATTATATACATAAGATATAATACGACTGGTTGTTACGTTTCTTTTTTATTGCATCTATAGAAAAAGATCGTCTTAAATTACTTTGCGTATCTAAAATGAATATTCGAAAATTAAAACCAATCCAACACATTATGCAGTTTAATATATTATGCTTGCAAGCATATAGTTACATTAAAAAAAGTTCATGTATAGTGATATATCACGTCATCTAATAATTATTAAGGGTGTTTGTGTCAGAACTGACGCATTTATTTATAGTACAATCTCTTGTAAAAATTCCTTAACACTTCATGAATTATTTGCATTTTGATAATTAATTTTTTTTTTTGTTAGGGTAAACGAAAACATATAGAACGTCATATAATTGTTTTTTTCCGTGGAGTCGTTATTAATCATTGAAATGGTTTGACTTATTTTTTCAGTACGAACAGTTGTATGGCCACCACACAAAATAACTAGAAATTACCCCAATTGTTATCTTCTAATTAGGTGACTATGATGTAAATTCCCTTATTGTAAACTAATTATATAAATCATAAAAATTGGAAAAATAGAATTAAGAACGTCAATACGAACAGAACGATAATGACAAAATCTGCGAGGATACCGCTGCAGGTTCTCTCAATTTATTGAATCTTACATTCTTATCGTAGCACGCGAAAAACGATTTGAACATCTTAAAAATTAAGTCTATACGTATGTATCAACACAATGCTTATAGGTGGTTTCAAATTATCATGTACACAGTTTAAAAATGTAAACAATATTTTTTTGCTTTTGTTAAATACTGGCGGACTGCTATGATGGACAATATATATTATATAGTCACCAGTTCACCACACACTTTTTATGTAAACGTATACAACGCAGAAAAGTGAACGACGTAAAGCAAATATTTGTTTATTATTTCAAAAATCCCACATAAGTATATTGTTGTCTACATAATTAAATATAATATATATAAAATTACTTAATTACCTATACAAGGTGATGATTTTATTTAAACGCGAATCGGTCAACATGTGTTTGTATCGATTATGGCAAATATTTGAAATTTTAAAATGATTTAAAATGTACTTATAAGTTATACTCGTATACGTTCAAAAATCAAAAATTCGAAATCGTATAAATTATACCTGAATTACATATTGTCTTATTGATGATGAGTAATAGGTAATGATTATTAAGTTGTTTAACGTCTCTTCTATAATAGAATAAATGTGGGTTATAATAATATTATAGAACTTAAAGTGAAATTTTCAGAAATTAAATACGCGATATTAAAAGAATTTTACTGTTTTAAATGTTTGGGATGGTTATACTGCGTTTCTTTATATGTTATACTAAAATTACTAGATAATTTAATACGTACAATATCGCCGATTAATCTATTATATGTATACAAGTGACACGTCATGTCATTAGGTAATATAGGTACTACATTATAAACCTACTAATGGAATTTATATTGTGTTATGTAAATATTATTTACGAAATTCATCACAATGACTTAACCTGACGCATAATTCATTGATAATTCCATTTTTGAAACGTATGACTTTTTTGCATTTATGTTTATAATATAATTACAAACTTGACGAAAATACAATATCAGACATAGTAGACACGTACCTAACACAATAACATGTTAATTTTTAATAATTAATTTTTAATTTTCGTATAATATAATTTTTTTATTCTATTAACCCACGATTACGCTAATACTCGTTCCCAATAAAATGATTGTATATTAATACAATATTGAACGGTGTACGATGTACTCGTATATAATTTAAATATTATTACGCGCGATTAAATTCTATAATCAGAGGGGGAATTAATAATAGATATAATTTTATATATTTAAAACATAAATATTATTATTTATTAACCGGTCGTAAATTTGTAATCAATTAAATGATGTAAAATGTACATTTAATATCTGTTGTCCTCTTTAAAGTCCATTCAATAGTTTTAATAGTTTCCCACGTGGTCGTCAAACTCACATTCCTATATTACATTATATTCTATATTTATTTTACTCTTTTAATATGTATCTATATGGTCGATAATGATAAATTAAATTTTTTTGTTTTAATTTGAATATAGTAACAGTAATTAAGTTCAAAACCCTAAGTACCAATACATGATAGTTGATATTTTCTAGATGGGTATTTACTATTTAGACATTTAGTCATTTATCAGTAATTTAGTAGTTTTATCAACGTTTTTAAAATGCGACAAAAACCTGTATATTAAAACAATAACGAATACTGGATGTGCAATTGTTTTTTAAGCGCATTGATACAAACGAAACGACTTTTGATTTCCCTAACGGATCTTTTCATTATTCGTAATAATTAATAGTAAACAATTGATTTCACGACCTTCCACAACTTTTCCGTTCAGATATACCTAAGCGATTAGACGAACCTAAAGCAAAACACGTCGTTATAAACAATCAAACATGAATACATTAACATGATATTAAATCTTTTGTTTTTGTCATATTAACACGACGAAAATCGTAGGTCGACATTGAAACGGTCATACAAAAATAATGAACAGTTAACGTCGTAATAACATTTTAATGCCGTTCTACGCGGCTGTTGTCCGGTTATTAGCGAAAGTAAAGACCAAATCGTGGCAAACTCGAGTAATCGAGTTTATCGAGACAAGAGCCTTAGCCACTGCCGCCGCCGTTTTCTTCGCGAGTTCATACTCGGTTGGGTGGCATTAGACGTGTCAGACGGAGGGACGCGAAGATGTTTGCAAACGACAATTCGGCGGGGGGGGGTATGGCGCTACGAGAACCAGAACAGTACTGCTGTGACCTGAGAAACGGGCTAAACCAATAGGTGGCGGGAACCGCGAGTGTGGTGGCGGC